TCGACACGCACAAAACGAGAAGTCGTACCAGCACAGACTTTGTCGTGACTCTCGACCTGCACATCGCCCTCGAGCAACTTCAGTAAAATGAGGTCATTGACTTGTAGGGCTACCCTAGACTTCCAAGACCATTCAAACAATTGGTTGACTTGTTTTTTGTAGTGTAAAATCCTTAGTTGATTCGGTAAAGCCTGTAAAATTATTGGTTGTTGGAAGCCCAGGGGTTGTATTTTCCCAAGTTCCGAACCAAGCCAATCCAAGCTGAGGTATCAACTTCCTCCCCTGCGACGCGGGCGCCGCAAGCTGCGAAGCGTCGCCGCTGCCTCGCTGGGCACGGCGGCTGATTCTCCGAGAAACCTGTTGGCAGGCAAGGTCGAGACCGGTGGTGACCCGATGAGGTGAAAGATGTTCAAAGGTCGCCCAATCAGATCGAAAGAGGTAGCATGTGTCGAGCCGCTTGGTATTACGGCATAGTGATCACGATTGATCACGTTCGTGTGATGGTGTATAAAGGTCAGGAGTTCGCCTTACTATCCTGTTGGGCACAGATGGGCGCAGACGTGCATGGCTTGGCTTCCCTGCTGTCCACCGGACACGTCGGTTGTTGTTTTTCCCCCAGCTGCCAAGTGAGGGTTGTTCGATATGTGCCCTGCCATGCCCCGCCTTCTTCCTTTCCTCGCCTCTAACTTTGAGTGGTCGTGATCACTCAAAGTTGTAAATGGTTTGATTTATATTGGGATTGATTTTTTTCCCCTGTCGTTCCCTAGGGAATCCAGTCATTCCCTATGTGGGGCCTTTGTAGGTGCCAGGAGGGCCCAGTCACACCGAACCTGAGAAGATACAAAAACGGATTTGTAGGGCTCAGAGTCGTTCTGTTTTTTTTTGTTTTTTCCCGCTATATAGGGCTCCAAGTACCTCCTCGGAAGGTATTTGGACCCTCCTGGCACCCACCCCAGTCCCACCGAACCTCAGGTTCGGTACGACTGGAGCCCTAGGGTTTGTGTTTTTCCCTTGCCCTAAGGATCCGCACCCGAAACCAAACAAGGGTTTGGTTCGGGTACAAACCCTTGTGAACTAGAGGGTTCGACCCCGACCCCCAAGGAGGGTCCGTTCGGACCCTTTTGGTGCCAGGTGAATGACCGCTCCGCGGCGGCGGCATGGGCTGAGCAGGGCGTGGTGGAGGAGCCCAGCAGTGAGGTGATAGACGTGGAGACCTGGTTTGGTTGATCCAATTTTTGTGCATTTTCCCGAACTGGGTCAATCCCCAAACCGGCAAAATAGGTCATTTTCATGTTTTCCCACATGTTTTGGTAGATTCCTTATGCAAATCCAAAGTGAGGGTGCACGTGAATGATCGTGAATGTTTTTTGTTTTTTTTGGTTCTTGGGCACATTTTGCTGCATGGACACCCTTGTAGATCCTTCTAGGGAAAATCTATAAATCCCTACGGAACCCTACAGCTCCACATACCTTCTGAGAAGGTGATTGGAGGCTGTTTATGTAGGCGCCAGGAGGGTCCAGTCGTCCCTTCTGCGGTACGGTGTGTGGATCAAAATGCATTATTCCTGGTCCCTTGAGCCATTGAAAGGTAAAGGAGCTTTTTCCAGACTTTGCTTTCTGAGCCGCTGGTGGCTTGGATGAGAGCTGGCCAGATGGCCGCTGGCAGCGGCACTCCGTGTGGTGAAACAAGCCCCACGCAAGACCTTACACCGGTCATCATGAAGCAGACGCACCTTGGATCAAGATGTGCCAAGCAAGCCAAGCACAGACAGCATTGCTTTTCGAAGGCGGACTATGACGTGGTCCACTTGACCAGCTACGTGAAGCCAACATTCCAAACTGGAAGTCCCGTCCAGTTGCCATGCCGCGCCGTGTATACACCGCACAGCACCAGCGCGCCGGGCGACCCACTTCCACCGTGCAGCACGTGGGTGCATGCTGCGGTGATTTGTGGTGCCCGGATGAAATGGTACCTTCTCAGGTACGGGTGAGCAGGGAGGCCCAGTACATTTGGAGCCCAAACGTCGGGATCCGTGGTCGTACCGAAGGTTGCTTCAGAACCCACCACGGATCCGTTTGACGCCTCCTGCGGGTCGAAAACACCGGCGCGACCGGGCTTTGGTCGAAGGTTGGTCGACTGGGGAGGGTCGCCGGCGACTGACCCGCACGACGGACGACCCCTCTCGGGCTCCTGGTCCGCCCCATCTCCGACCCGGTGACCGGGTGGTTAGATCCCCTTGGCACCCACCCCAAGCACCTAACCTCAGGAGGGGGCGGCCAGGAGTCCTAGGGATAAAACGATCTGGCTGTGTGTCAAAAGCTGTGGGCGCCCTGACCAACCCTCACCAACTGTGACTTCTGATAGGTCGTTCTGTTCATTTTCTGTGGTCGACTAAGGTGCCCCTGTTTTGACCCACAGCCAAATGTCATGTAATCCCTAGGGCTCCAAGTACCTTCTGAGAAGGTGGGACTGGGGTGGGTGCCATGTTCGGGTCCAAACACCGAACCTGAGGAGGTACGACTGGAGATTTAGGGAATGTGTTTCTTTGATCACGTCTAAGGGTCTAAGGGTTTGCTATCCGTCCGGGAGGCGAACGTGGAACGTGTGTCCAGCCTTTGAACCTTTCCCAGTCGACTCCACGGGACTGCCATGTCGGACTGCCGAGAAACGGCCAAGGGCGGTGCCAGGGGGGGTCCGCAGGCAGTCCCAGACAGGTCGTGTATGGGTTTGGGATGTACGACGCCTTTGTGGATTCAATCACAATCAACTTTTGGGTGAGTCCCAACGCCTTTTCTCCCTGCAGTGACCCAAGAGCGCGCCGCGCCCTGTGACCCAAGAGCGCGCCAACGTAACCCCTGGTGGGCTCGGCGTTCTGTTTTTTTGGCATGGTGCCTATCCCAAGCCGGTTTTTTCTCCACTTGGGCTGGGTTTGGGCTCAAGACATTGGGTGTGGAGTTTGTGCTAGACAGACTCCATATTATTGCGTTCTTCCAACGTGCGCACGTCATGCACTTCATGCGCTTGAGCTTTTTCATGGCCTTGGGGCCTACACTTGGCCACTTGGATTGGTTTGCCAAGTTAGGTTCGATGCATGATTCCATGGTTCCAGACCTGGTTGCCAACCCAGGTTTCGTACGTGCATCACCTGCAGGTCGCCATTTCGGGGGGGATTGGGGAAGGACAGAGGGACACCCCAGTATCTTAACAAACAGTCAGGTGGAAGAACGTTTGGTTAACCTTTTGCAGGGAGACTGAGGAGGTGAGCTTTCGGAATCAAACCCGCGTTTTGAACCTTCATCCAGTTCTGTTCGGGGCGAAGATCTCCGAACATCTCCCAACTAAGCAGGTGTTTGTTGGTTTTGGTCCATGTGTTCCAGGAGCATTGTGTTTTGATCAGATATTGTCATACCCAGTCAGTATAACCTTGAACCTTTTTTTTGGAGTGGTTTTCCCACTACACTAAGCCAGTCAGAACAGGTAGAACATTGTTTTAATGGTCTTGGAATGTCTAGGTTCACTTTGCATCAAGTTTATCCTGGCTTAAGGCCAAGGGCTTTGTCTCGACAACGCCGTGCCAGAGAGTGAGCGTGCCTTCATCCAGGATGGTGACTTGGCTTTAGACCGCTGCTTGACCAGCTAGTGCGCTACACAAAGGAGATCAAACCCAACCATGAGCAAAGGGACTAGGTCAGCAACATAGAAACTACAGAAGGTTGGCAGAGGAGCCTGGAGCACAGATTGCAGAGACCTGCTGCTATCTAGAACGCTGGTCACGTCCAACACGCCCTTCTCTCGGCACGGGTGGCAGAAAAAGGCCAACTCATGTGTGGGAGTAGAGGAGTTTGGCCAACTAGAGTTCTTTCTACCTCCACAATGAAAAGGATTCCTTCCACAATTCGAGGAAGTCGACCCCAATAATTCCAGAACAGGACGTTCTACGGGTGTGTGTTTTCCCGTGTTCTTGAAACCCCTTCTGTTAGTACTCATGTTCAGTGTGTTACTCGAGGACGAGACCTCGTTGCAGATCGTTTCCAAGGAGTCGTAGGTCGATGCTCGTCGTGCATCACCATTGCCATTGGCATTGCCATTAGCAGCACCACAGGTCAAGGGTAAATGACCAGCACACCAGCACCATTAGCATTAACATTTGAATTAGCATTGCCATTACGATTCCCATCACCACAGTTCAAGGGTGAATGGCATTCAAGCTACCACATCGCAAGGGTGATGGTTCGTTGTACCACGTTCTTGCAAAGCGTAGGGCTTAAGACATGGTGTCCTATATGGTGAGCTCCAACAAGAAGAACAATAGACAGCGAACGGAACTTGATCCAAAGTAGCTGTTTAGACAATGGCCACTGATGGCCGGTGGCTTGTAAGCACGGAACGCTTGCTGCGGCTGAGGTGGGGGCAACAACATCAAGATTGGAATTTTTGAGGGCAACTGGCCATCTGCAGGAGTGTCACTCACCGACGGATGTTGGTCAGTGTAGAACTTGAGTGTTTCCCAGTAAGTATAGGATCCCAAAATGGTTCGATGAACACATTCCATTGTAGTCCCTTCATCCCTGAATATTGGAAATGGAAGGGCCATAAAGGGCCCTTGCCTGCTACTGAGAGGACAGTCAATGACCAAATTAATTGCACAGATAGCAACACGTGAGTTTGATTATCAATGTGGTCGACGGACATCAGTCCGTCGTCGGACACTGGCAATTTGGTTGGACACATCCGAAGTTTTGTTGGAGACTTGTCCAAATCCCTAGGGATCCACATACCCTTTGAGAATGCAGGTGATTGGAGACACTGTTGTGCAGGTTTGGAGGGTCCAAGTACCCTTTGAGAAGGTTCTTGGATCCCTAGAGAATGGACACCACACCCCTACTATTTTGCTGACCTTTTAAACTTGGGACAACAGACAGCCTTCGATTCGCCAACACAGTGGTGTTGGTCCGATCCTGCACTGATCACGACCACGCTCACGCTCGATGACGACTTCCTGTGCACCTGGGAGAACCTCCCACACAACAGCGACCCCCCAGTGAGTTCGCTGGAAAATCGATCCGGCGACCGGGTTGGGGCAGTAGACAGGTCGATGTCGCCTCAGCTTGGCGTTTCGGCTTGGAACCATCCCGTTTTCGTGTACCCTCTCAGGTTTGGTGATGTGGTTTGACGCGGTGATTTGCCCGGTGCCTGCCATTGTCGGGTCCACCTCAGGTACGGCACGAAAAGGGATCCCGAAGACGGGTAAACGGTATTTGATGGTATTTGCATCTGGCGATTTGGCAGGACTGTTGTCGGAACTCATCAAGCTGCTGATGGAGGACTCCAGCAGCGAACAAGAAGCTACTATAGTAGCTCCTGGCATGACTACTAGGAGCGAGAAGCTACAAGTAGCAAGGTGCCGTACTACTAGTAACACGAAGCTACTAGCACATCGATGGCCACCCCGAACGCGTCGGGCGCTGGAGAGCCGAGTTCGGGATGCCGTGAGGGACGCGGCTCGCGGGGAGTGCGATGGCCATGGCCATAGAATCGCAGAATATCGCAGACCATCCATGGGCCCTAAGGATCCTTGGACCTTCCTTTGAAGGGGTCGAACTCTCTTGTTCACAAGAGTTTTTGCCCGAACCAAACTCTTGTTCTGTTTCGGGTGCGGATCCTTATAGGGTTACTTTCAAATCTCCATTTCAGCCACCATTTCGGAGATGCTGGTAACATGTCCGCAGACTTGGCAGCAGAACAACAACAACAGCAGCAGGAAAACAGCAGCAACAACAGCAACGGCAACAGAAATAGAAGAAAGTACACGCCACAATGATTCGAACGCACAGCACCCGAGATCACGGAAGACCTCGTAGATCTCGGCAGGAGGTGTTGGGCTTTCACTCCGAGATTCACGAAAAGCTTGGTGCCAGCGGGGCCTCTCCCATTTGGGCATTGGCTGGATGCCGCCACTTGGGTGGAGTCCATATAGTTATACAGTGCTTTTAGAGGTGATACAAACCCCTACAGGTTCTTTAGATGGGGGTCCTTATAAACCACCTTTTGAGGATTGCACCATCTACTCTCAATCCCCTAGTAAATGATTGTTCTTTTTTTGGGGGGGTGGTCAACCTGCTTCAACGGACCACTGCTGAACCAAGGATGGGTTGGAACAAGGGCTCATCCGTAGAGCCGTCAGTAAACAAGAACATCACGATGTTCGACCAAGCCATTTTCACCAGGGAAAACATCATCCACCGGCCAGGGGCCAAGATAACACCGTATGTTTGATGGGTTTCGTTCGACGCTGCTACAGCGAGCCGTGTAGCCGCCGGGGGAGCACCATCAGATCGACCGGAGTCACCGAACCACTTGCCAGCAGTCCCTAGGGCGAACGCCCCATCTCCTCAGGAGGTGGTCTTCGACCCCCTTGGCATCCACCCCAGTCCCACCTTCTCGGGAGATGGGGCAGGAGCCATAGGGAGTTACTTGTTATACACCCCGAACACCATGTGTGTAAAGGAAACTAGTCTTCCAACGACCCATGCCATCCACTTCCACGCAACGTGAGTCGGAGTTAGGATGTTGGGGGTGTGAGGGCGGCAAACTCTTCGAGAAAAGAGGAGAATTCGCGCCGGTGACACCGGGCACTTCAGGCGATTTCGATGCTGCCCAATATGATCAGAAACAATGTGGGGAGTCGGAGACCGTGATGCATGTGAGTTTGGATTCCTGGATTGGAAGCTACAGTGGCCTGGCGATTCAATGATTCCATGCCACTCATGGCCACAGGGAGAATGGAGGGTTTAGAATTTCCTTATAAACATTGCCCGAAGCCATAAAACCACTGTTCGACTTTGGGGATTTGGCTCGTTGAAAGCCAATTGGCTCAATTGAGCTGAAATTGGTGGATAGTGGATCTACGTGCACTTCTCTCAGATCCGCGTGCAGCTTTTACAGTTGCCCCCCCCCTTAGTAGGCCATCAATTCTAGCCTTTTTGGATCAAACACATGGGTTTGCACAGTGGTTTGCATTCGACTGTGGCACCCCCCACCTTCAAGGGGTCTTGGTTCCATGGCCTCCAAATGGCCTCCAGAGATACGCCAGACACCTGCCGTCTGACAGGAGGCTGGCCGATCCCTGCCGCCGCCGTCTTCCAACGACCCCCAGGCAGTCTTTATGCTCAAATGCGCAAAGACCATCCAACCACTGCTCCCTTGGATTTGGGCTCCATGGGCTACAGTGGCGAAGAGTCGGTCTATGTGCCTTGGAAGGCCAAGAAGGACGCCTTCTGAACCCCGGGTGTTCAGGGTGTTCGACGCGTGTCGGACTCGAGTCACACACCCGAAAAAAAAAAAAAAAAAACACGATCTGTTTGGGACTGGAAGATTGACATGGGCTGCAAATCAACCACCGCAGCTGAGATGTCACGTGTTTCTCCCAAAGGGGGGTCGTGGAGAGGGGGAGAGGGATCGAGGGAGGCCACGACTTCAGTTCCCAATTTGGTTGGCGATTCGCAACGTGGTGTAATGTAGACCTCTTGATGCCTAGACCCTCTCCATTTGGATTGGAAAACCTATCTTCATATGCGCCCTAAGAATCAAGGACCCTCAAAGGTGAAGGTTTTGAGGGTCGAAACCCCTGCTATGCAGGGTCAAAACTCTCCATATATAGGGTCCAATGATCCTTAGGGCGGGGTTTATGAACGTTCAGCGCCCGTTTCCAAACAAGGACCCCGTTCGCTGGTTCCAACCCAGGTGCAGCAACGATTCGGGTCCAAAGCCTCCAGCGAACGGTGGTCTCCCATGATTCTTAGGGCCCAGAAGCTCGTCCCCGACTGGTCCCTCGAGACCGGATTTGAGACCCCAGACACTACACCACTTCCATGGAGGGAGGGAGGATATGCAAATTATATATACCTATAGAACCCATTTGACCCCTGTTTTGATAGGAAAAGACCATGTTTTGGCTCCAAAACAGGGGTCCATCAGGTTCTAGGTATATGTGATAGTCAATGCATGTAGGTCAATATTATCAGAGTGGTGATCTACATGATCAGAGTGGTGATTCGAAGGTCCGTTGGCCGCATGAGGTGCAGACTTACATCCTGGACGAAGCCTACCGCAGCGATGGTTTGGCCCTTGACTTCTACAAGAGTTTCCTCGCTGAAGATCTCCCCAGCGGCTCCGACATTTTTCACCAGTCCGGGGCCTCTATAGCCCTTTTTCATCATAGCTTGCCTAATTACTGAAGGTGTAGGTGGATCTACTGGGTGGGACATACGATGAGTGCGGTTTTGGTGTTGATTGACAGAAGCCAGTCGACCGATTACAAAGATCGAGCAAGTGACTTCCAGCACCACCCAGATCGGGTTGTTGATAGACGCCACGGACTATGCATGTTTCATCCCACAACCACCCAAACTGGACGGTGCTGGTTCAGTTTGTTCGTTTGTTCCTTTTTATCCATCCACGATGTCGCTCCACTACCCAGACGCTCCAAACAGCTCTTGGTACCTCAAAACCCTAGGGATTTGAGACCCCAGACCCCTCCATATGAGGGTCCGACCTGGACAGATGTGGAACATGTGATTTTACCTTCCAAGGCGAACTGGAAAGCATGAGGACTCCCATGTGATCTTATGATCGGTATACCTTTTTTGGATCCTTCACAAGATCGAACAGATTTGAACAAACCCCAAGGATCCGCACCCTCAAAAACAAGGGTTTGGTTCGGGTACATGAGGGGCCCCAGCCAGGTTCGACCCCGACCGCCATGGTTCGGGTCCGGACGACCGGATCCTTAGCAAAAGACCATGGACCAAGTCTATCAGGTTTCCAACGTTTGGCACCTCTTTGGTCTGCGATCTTGGGCACCTCCACTGCCCTGCAGTCTCAGTTGGTACAGTCAATACCTTTTTGGGCCCTGGTGTCATGTACCATTTTCTAACGTACTTCTGCCCAGTCAGTGGATAACCTTTAATGATCCTTTAAATATGAAGCCTTTTGTTTCGAGTTCTTTTCCCTTCCGAATGCTCGATGTCAAGCGATGTCCCGATGTCCAGCGGTGTCAGGTCCGGCCACGTCCGCCGTGCTTGGAACAGCAGGCTACGATGTCACGCACCACAACGCCAAGAAGCATTTCTCCTCCATCCATGCCATCCCTTTGAATGAGATGGCTCGATGCAATGAAACGGATTTCTCCACCAATGCCAGGACGGCGTCCGGGATGGGAAGCACCGTGTTCGGAACGCGCGGGCGGGCGCGCGGAACGGGCGGCGCGTCGCAGCGGAAGGGTGTTCGGTCGATCCAGTACTGAAAGGAAACGAATTCATACACCGACTGACCTGACTGACCCAGTAAACCGAAAAAAATGGGACATGCCCGACATGACCCCTACTACAAAACAACAGCTACAGTACTTGTACCTATTGTTCCGAGGTACGAACTGGGTCGACTCCAGGTGGACTCCAGGTACAACCATACACCCCCGGCATTTTGCGTTTGAAGATCCTCGGGTGTATGAATCAAGAGTCTACATTCACCCCTACAAGTCCAGTCTGAACCAGGTCCGAACCTGAAAATATCCTTTTTCGTCGTGTTTTTGTATGACCAACTTCAGTACCCTAGGGCTCCAATCATATCCTCAGGTTCGGTGGTTAGACCCCCCTGGCACCCACCCCAACCATCTTCTCAGGAGGTGGTTGGAGCCCTAGGGGTATTTCATGAGGTCATTGACTTGTGTAGGGAATGAACACCCCAGGCCCCCTGGGCTAGCCTTGGGGTGTTTAATTACAGCGCTCCGACCAGAGGTGATTCGGGGTTTTCCCATGAACCACCCCAAACGGGGGGGGCCCTGGTATATCCCTAGGCTTCCAACAACCATTAGGCTTCCAACAACCATGGTTTTAATATCAACTAAGGATTTTACACTACAAAAACCAGGTCGTTCCCATGTTATTAAAGGTCGAACGGAAGTCTAGGGATATGATCTTCGTTCGGGTCGTGTGCCATGTTCCTCCGGTGCTTTGGAGGCCTCCAACTCTTCGAACGGTCGACTCATGGCAGTTTGAAACAGCGACCAGGAGTTCACAGTTCACCGTGGGTTTTGGGCGATCAGGTAAGTGGATCCCGAAGCGTCCAGGGCATCCAGGCAGGCAACGTTCGCTGGGAGTCCCAGTGGTTCCAGTTCGACGAAAACCAGATGGATCACTGCCAGCACCCTCCAACAGGTCTCCGAAATGGAGGCTTTTGCTGACTTAAAAGTCGCAGGTGGTGACCTGGCAGGGAGGGTGCTGGTGGGTGATCCACATCATTTTCTCAGCTTCGGTACGACTGGATCAGATCATCGACATGGACGGGGGCACTGACATGGACTGTACGGACTGTACTCAGCCCGACTTATGTCGGCCTTTGAGCGAAGAAAAGCTCATCCTTTTCGCGCTGGTGACTGCATTTGCCGAGAAACGGCCAGGGGTGGTGCCAGGGGGGTCAATGTAAGCATATATGGCACTCCCACGGAGTGTTTGGGATTGATTTCCCTTGAGCTGTGCACTATTTGTCCCTGAATAGAGCTTGAACGATCGTCCAAAGAGGCCGCTGAGATGCATAGGTGTCCCTAGTAGTCGGAAGGCGTGGTCTGCTGTTGATTCCAGAGCCTGTTCTTCCCCAAAAACCATTGAGATTTCACCACGACCTTCCAAGAGGTGTTTGTAAGTAGCCTCTTAGAGGTGATTCGGGGTGTCCAAAAAAACCACCTGTTGGAAGGTCCTGGCATATATATTAACCAACCAGGAGTCACAAAGGGGTGGTTTTTATTTCCTAAGTGAGTGGAGTAGCTGGGCACCCCTATCCTCCAAGCTCCCGTCTTGTGACTGCTGGAATTTGATAGTCCTTCAAACGGACTTCCAGGGCCCATCAAACCATCCATCCTTTCGAAGTCGCGCGATGTGAGACTTCCGGACTTCCAGGATGTATGACTTCGTGAGATTTTCCAACGACTATGACGGGATGGTGCGCCAAGATGATGGCACCTATGTTGCGAAGTGTCGCTGGGTCTCAGAATCCAATTTAAGTGTCGCTGGGAAGTCATCCAGCTGGAAACACCTGAGTTTTCACCAACTCAAACTACCAGGGCCAAAGCCAAGTCCGGTGGTTTTGGGACACTCAAATAACCTCTAAGAGGCTGTGTATAGACATCTCGACAAGAAGGCACGCTGTTTGCATGACATGGCCAACACATGGGCATTGGAAGATGATGTTCATTTCTGTGGTTTCTTTCTTTGCTTTGCTTTGCTTTGCTTTGTTTGTTATGTTGATTTCTTCACCACCTGCCAGGTGAGGGTTGTTAGATTTTGTCCCGCTCCTGTCCCGCTCCTGCGCCTGAAATCTGCGCCTCCCTCTCCGCCTCCCGGTCAATCGCAAGTGCCGGATCGCAGTGGGCGATCGCAGAGTGCAAGATAGCATGCCAGAACATATGCCAGACAGAGTGCCACTACATGCGAAATAGACTGCCAGAATAATATATGGAATGCCGGACAGTATGCCATATCGAAAGGAATAGAATGTCATAATACATGCCAGATAGAAAAACATATAATACGGTATATGCCAGATAGAATGTCAGATTTTTTGCCAGCTAGAATGCCAAAATGTATGCCAGATAGCATGCCAGAATGTATGCTAGATAGAATGCCAGATAGAATCGCTGGATATGTATGCACGACAGACACTTCTTTCGCTTCTCCAGGACCGAAGGCGGACAATATGTCACAGTGCATGCCAGACTTCACGGCAACACATGCCAGCAAACCCAGAAAATGTCCCAGCCTTTATGAGGGATGTTGTGTCAGAGCGCAGACCAGGCTTGATGCCAATGTGCCCCGATTTCTTCCAAATCGCTTCTCAGGTTAGGACCACTCGAAGTAAAGTAATGTTTCTGTTGATGTCAATGTTCTACTCATGTTGGGCCCATGGCATTGATTTGACTTACTGTAACGTTTGCTTCCATCGGTGTCTATGTTGGTTGGTTTTGGGATGGCTGTTTTGCCTTTTTGGCCTGGGCTGGGTGTTGCAACATTGAGGGATACTGTTGAGCTCATACTGTTTGCACAGTGATACTGGTGTGGTGTAGTGCTTGGTTTCATTGAGCTCATACCTTCCTTGGATACTGTCCACAGCACCATCACTGCATTTCCATTGCGTATAGGATCTCAATTGCCATACTGTAAGATGTAGAAACCAGGTCTCAAGTGCAGCATGTAGTTGTCAATCTCCATTGTTAGTGAGTTCGAGTGTAAGTCAAAGTTCTGGAACATACCTCAGTTTCGCTTCGATGGTGATGGTGGGTAGTCTTGAAGGGTCGAATACTACCGGTCACCGGGTCGGAGATGGGGCGGGGCGAACTCGGAGCCCGTTCTGGGTACCATTGGGGTGCCGAGATCTTCCCTGTGACCGTTCTGGGTACCCCATCGCTCCACGGTACTGGGGCCCAATGGGACTGATCGTAAACATGGGACCCGATACCATCTATCGCCCGATCGGGATCCAGTCGTACCGAAGCTCAGGTATGGTGAAGAAGGAGACACTGTTCTGTAGGTGCCAGGAGGGTCCAGTCGTAGCGAACCTGAGAGGGCACGACTGGATCCCTAGGGACAGGTAGGATGGTTCTCCCCATGTTCGGAGGTTTATATGGACCGGGCCGGCTCCAGGTACAATGGTTTCAGAATGTTTCAGAGATGGCACAATCCCCCAAGTTATAGGTGGTTTATAAGACCCCCTAGTCTGAAACCACTGTAGGTCACCCTTCCCAACGAGACAGACTCGTGCCTTTTTCGGCGATGACGAGTTCTTGCGAGGCCCAGACGGGCACTGGTGGCCGGCCCCAGCCTGTCGCTCGAACCACTCGGAATGCATCCCGCTCTTCACTGCGGGCCACTTGGCGTGAGTGGAGTCGATGGGATGGCCCCAGTTTCACTGGCTGAAAGTACGTGAAGTAGAAGCTGGAGATATTTGGATGTGTTGTTAAATATATATCGAAATAAATATACCTGGAGCCTCAAATCTGCCTCGGAAAATGGATACAAGTACCTGTTTTTTAGGGGTCATGTCACATGTCCCATTTTCTAAGGTACTTTGAGGGCCCAGGTACCCGTTTTACATTTAAACATGCGCCTTCTTTTTAGACACGTTAATCGTTTTTCGTTGATCGGTTTGCTATCAGCTCGTCACACCCAGCTCGTCCGCCATGTTCTGGCTTGGCTACTGGCGGTAAGTGTTTCATGACTCATGATCTTGGCCAATCTGTTCAATCTTTACATGTCTTTACATGTTTCTTGTCCTACAATGAAGTATGCTAAGTCTAGTTTTAAGTAAGCCACTATCTAAGTAACACACATGATTTTGGCCACAGAAAGCTGCTCTAGGATCGACAGGGATTTGACGGGAAAATTGTGCGGGAGACACAGACTAGGCCACTGGGTACTGGACATGTTTGTTTGTGTAGTACTCAGTGGATTCCAGTTTCCACTATATATATATATAAGAATTTGGGTTTTGTTCGGTCTACAGTATGGTTTTAGTTTTTTTGGAACTACTGGTTACCAGCTTGTGGTAACTGGATGCCCTTCGGTATAGTTGCATAGTACTGTGTAATGCGAGATTGTTTGGATTCGGAGCTTCATATGCTTTTCTTCTTCTTTGTTCAGCAAAACTTCTCTGGGACAATGGGACGAAAAGCCGAGAACTTGCCGTAGGATTCTTGGCCAGCCGATTTGATAGCCTCCCTAAGAATCATTGGGCTCTCCATGGCAGGGGTCGGACCCTCCATAGCAGGGGTGCGGGCCCTCAAAACCCTATGTGTTTGAGGGCCCCGGATTCCTAGGGCTGTAAGGATTTGACACAAGATCAAGATCAAGCATTGAAACAATGGTCGATCGGACTTCTAGGGATCCTGTGAGGTAATGCACGGGAATACCCGCCTCACAACGAACATGGAAGTGGAGTAGGTCCTTCCTTTGTAGAGGAAAGTGATCTTCTGAACAGGATGCCCCCGAGAAAGGACTACTATTTTCCACTTCTATGTTCCAGTTTCTGAACACTCCACCAACTCCGAGTGTGTGTTCCTCAAGCACCTGGTACTCGTACCAATTGGGAGAAATGAGAACCTCACGGACTTTGCTCAACGACAGGGACACCCCAAATCCAAAACCATGATTGGTAGTGAGATAGGTCCACCTGAGGCAATGGCTGGAAGTTGCAGGCGATCATGCAATGGACGGTGGCTTATGGCATGCCAGTGGTTTCCCGGAGCGGGTCTTATGGACCGCGGTGTCGGGGCTATGGACAGCTCGGACGACTCGTTGCGAGAGGTCCAGACTTTGGGATTACCAGTTGACTTGATGAATCACCTCCCCAGACATGGATTGAACAGCCTACTTCGGGTGTTGAAATATAGAGTCCAAATTCTGCGCATCCCGAATGTCACAACCATGGTTTCCTCGCCATCACTGGGCGGTTCCGAAGAGAGCATGTAAAGTCCCCTAGGGATCTACCTTCGCAGGTACGGTAATTGGAGACACTGAGACATGTAGGTGCCATTCTACGTCGGGTCCAGTCGTAGCGAACCTGAGGTTCGGTACCGCTGGATCCCTAAAGAGTATTTCTGGAGTCGACCCGGACACGTACCTCGGACAATGGGGACTCAGGCGTACCATGTCGTACCTCTTTTTGTATACCTGGGCCCTCAAAGTACCTTAGAAAATGGGACATGACCCCAAAAAAAAACAGGTACGACTGGGGCCCCATTTTCCGAGGCACGAACGGGTCGGCTCCAGGTAGTACTGTACGGTCACGTCCCATTTTCTATACCAACGACATCGGGTCCGACCCCCCAAGCAATGGGCTTACATCGGGCCTTTGCATTTGGTCTCTTTGCCAGATAGATTGTTAGGTATCCCTAGGCTTCCAACAACCATTAATTTAATAGGCTTTACCCAAACAACCAAGGATTTTACAATACAAAAACCAGGTCGTTCCCATTGTTTGAATGGTCTTTGACTCCCAGGGGTATTCACTTTTCCGGTGCCGCACTTGTTACGAACGTAGCGATGCACTTGTTACGTATCAGTGCGGATCCAGAGATCGTGAAGATCACACACCGGGTGGTCCATCGTTCGTTCGCCATGCGACTGGTCGAACACTTGTGTTAGGTGTCAGTTGGGGGCCCCCCCCGCTTAGGGGTCCTTTTGCGGGACCCAACCTGACCTGATGATGGGACGGGCGGAACGGTTCGGAACATGGTCAGCGGACCAGACACGTCAGTACGTGGAGAACCTGAAAAAAGAAACAGCTGAAAAACCTGGCTCTTTGGGAGCGGTTTTCCCACTAAACTAGAACAGGGAGAGGAGTCAGGGCAACTCGGGAGTCAGGGCTTCAAGGCCTCACCAGAGGCAGAGCAGGGTCCTCTCTGAAAAGGCCTATTGTACTCGTTTGGAGACCCTTATGCTGGCCACCACTGACATAGGATTTGTCGGAAGTAGAGTCAAAAACACAACTCTGATGTCATGTTTTGTGCTCCATGATGACTTGGGAAAACCGCCCTGGCAACTACTATGTCATTGGACCTAACAAGTCCTAAGTCATTGGTCCACGCTATAGCCCTTCTGGTTTAAAAGTGGACTTTCTCACTAAAACAAAGGACCTATGGACGGCGAAGTCATCCATGTGGCGTCCAAAGACTGTACTCTATAGTGATGAAGAGTTGATGTTTCTATTTGGTTTCTATACTCAACAGGTGATCCGGAATTGATTGCCGACCCGCATATGTGTATCCTCATGCGTTCTTCACATCTTCATCTCCGATTGTTCCTGCAGTTTTCGATCCAGCTAAGTTAAGTTCGTTCTTTTCTTCTCCAAGACAGCCCTTTGCTGTCCACATCAGCTAGGCTGTGGGCATCTCAAGCACTTGGGGCAATTATGTGAAGCACTCCCGTGAACAGCGTGCTTTGCACTATTGGTGGGTGCCCGATTCCACCTTCATCGATCCTCGCAGCAGCTGATGAAACGTCAGTCCGTCGTCCGTACTGTCGAGGGGTCGGTTGAAAGGGAGTCCCACAGGTCTAATGGGAAATATCACCGAATGACATCGAGTGAAGGTTCAGAGGGTATGTGGATTCATTCCGAACAAGTGTGCAACACATGTCAGCCAGCCCAGCTTTGGAGGATTTGAGCAGATACGCAAGACCATGCCCTGTTGGGCAGGCTCACTTAAGACACGTGTGATATTATAAATGCACAGATGCGTTTGACGGTCATTTGGCCTTCAGGTAGCCTATAGTCAAATGAGCTTGAGCTGTCCGTGAATACAGCTGCATGTTTACCTGCTGACACCGACTTCGCTAGCCTAGCAGCTTCCAACAAGTCCGAAGTGATACCCTGCTTCCTAGCAGGGCCTTGATTTCTAGCGGTCACTTGAGAGGGGTCGACTATCCAACAGAGGTCTGTTCGACTATCCCAGGCCAGGGTAGCAAAAACCTCTCTTGGTTTGGGGGCAAATGGCAACATGATGGCAACCTATGCTGAAGAATCAGCGACACGAGCAGCAACCCCCTGATTGTTCCCTCCTGGCCCATATCCTCAGGTGACCGGTGGTTAGACCCTGCTGGCATCCACCCCAACCATCGATTCTCAGGATGGGTTGGAGCCCTAGGAGATGGGACTGCGGTCTCTTGGGGGATCGTGACCGTCGCCCACCCCGGCCGTCCACCAGTCGCCTCGAACCACCGACGAGACACTCCTTTTGAGGATTTGCTGCTGTCATCAACGGGGATCCACATGGGTCTGTCCGAACTTACCTGTAACAGTCAGCAAACATATACCAGCACCGAAACCAACAGGTCTCCGAAATGGAGGCTTTTTTAGACTTTTTCAAGTCGCAGGTGGTGACCTGTTGGAAGGTCCTGGTATATTGCCTATATATATTGTTTGAAGAAGGCCTCTACTAACCATCCTCCTCCATTGGGCCCTGGTAATAGGATGGACCCAACACATAACCAAATGAATTCGAACGAACAGGTTGTTCTTTGCTTCGCAGCGTCCGCTGACGCTGCGTCAGCAACTCGCAACCGGTGGCGCTGAGGAGCTGAAGCCAGAGCCCATCGTTTTTCCTCGCCATTCCGCATTGGACCCTGGGACCTTTACTCCCTAGGGCTCCTGGCCCACCTCCTGAGAAGATGGTTGGGGTGGGTTTGGAGATGTATTACTATAGTAGCTTCTTGTTACTAGCAGCGATGGCCTCCAACCTACGACCCGCGATGGCCTCCAACCTACTAGCGTCCTTGCTACTAGTAGCAATGCCAGGAGCTATTTTTAGTGTTTTTGTTAAAACCGGCAATGGCCTCCACCTAGTAGCATCTATAGCTACTAATAGCTTCTTGCTAGTATATTAGTAATGGCCTCCAACCTAATAGCGATGGCCTCCACCGTGCGTAGCTTTTAGCTTCTAGTAGCTTTGTGTTCCTAGTTGTTGGAAGGTTCCAGCCTTAATGCAGACTCTTGAGGCATAAAGAAATTCATTTGCATTGTAACACCTCTTCAGGCGGGATTTTAGTTAATCCAGAGTCCAACTTGGGATTAACTCAATCACGCTGACTCATGTTTGTCGAGTGGGTTGAAACCAGTCGACAATTCCTCGCTGGTTCCTTCCCTTGTCGCCGATTCCAGCTTATACTTTTCGGGTGGTCGAACATTTCACTCCCTGGAATCCCTAAAGATCCAGTCGTACCTTCTCAGGTACGGTGAAGAAGGAGACACTGTTATGTAGGTGCCAAAACGTCGGGTCCAGTCGTACCGAACCTGAGAGGGTACGAAAACGGATCCGGGAATGATATCATACCCTAGGGATCCAAGTACCTTCTCAGAAGGCACTTGGACCCTCCAAACCCACCCCAAACACCTTCTGAGAAGGTACTCGGATCCCTAGGGATAAAAGTGGAAACCTGCATGGAAAATGGCACTCCGAACTCGAGGCCATGCCATCCACGTATCCATGATGATTGTAGGGAGTGTGCCAGAAGAGTACTTCCAGCTCTATCTAGCACTTCCTGCCAGCTTGGTCCTGTTTGGTGACCTTTTTAGTGGACAGGGTCATACCTCGTGAGGTGACCTCGATTTTGGGAAGCTGATAGAGAAGGGTCGCACTGGGACTGGATGTCCCCCTGCCATTGGGATGCCGAACTCCCTGACTGACCCGGCGCTCCAAGTGCTGGAGGTACGACTGGAGGGATGGAAGTGGACCATCCGGTTTGTAGAGGACCTGATGGTTTCAGTTCATGTCATGTGCCATTTCGAGCCCTAAGGATCATTAGCCCTTGCTATGGAGGGTTTTGACCCTGCAGAACGCAGGGGTTTGGACCGTCAAAACCTTCACCGAACTGAGGGTCCTTGATCCTTACTCTCTCAGAGGTCGAGGAGTCAGAAGCAACAGATCAACACTACGACACCGAATCATCATGGGCCAACGTGGAAGATGGCCCCTTTCGTTCGGACCATGATACGTCCGAATGCCAAACAGCAGGTGGTGTTCCCTCCACGCAATGATGATTCCAAGGAGTGTCTCCAATCCCTAAAAAATCCAGTCTGTCCTTCTCAGCTACCGTGATGTGTTCAACAGCTGTTATTTGCCGGTGCCATTCTACGTCGGGTCCGGTGTCGTACCGAACCTGAAAAGGTGATGTGGACTCCTCATGATGATCATGATCCCTATACCTGGAGACTCAGTTCGTACTTCGGACAAAGGGGCCCCAGTCGTATACCTGTATTTTTTGGGGGTCATGTCCCATTTGTCGGTACTGGGTCAGTCGGGCCCAGGTTTTTCGGGATTGACCTTCACAGCTGTCTTTGTTCAATGGCGCTCGGCCATCGACCGCCCGTTCGGCCCGTTCGACCTACGGCAACCAAGTCTTCCACTCCTCGATCGTCGCGTTCGCCCCTCCAAGGAGTGGAGCAAAGGAGACAAGAAGACCAGTGCGGTCGGATCCTACGTGGCGAAAATGGTCAGTGGCTCGCTGGGAGCGGGGCTGGGCTTCCGGAGTTCGGACCGAAGTCTCGTGACCTGAAGGAACGAACTGGGACTCCGGAAAACCTGGGGTACATATATAACCATTAATTTAATAGGCTTTACCCAATCAACTAAGGATTTTACAATACAAAAAACCAGGTCGTTCCCATTGTTTGAATGGTCTTTGACTCCCAGGATAGCCGAACTACGTGGGGTTCTGACCGTCTGGAGATCCACAGTTTTTGATCCGACAATTCCAGAAACTGTTCTGGATGCAACTCTTTTTTGGGCCCAGCCAGTGACTTTTTGTGAAGGATCTCAAAACGAAGAGTTCCATGCTTGACAACTCATGTTTCTGGTTGGGACTGAGTTTCCAAGAAGGTCCACCAGACAGTTATGGGGGCTTTTCTTTGTTTCAGGGAGGTTCTACCTAGAGAGTCTCAGTTCATAAGTCGGAAAATAATTTCAGAACATTTCGGAACTAAAGTTTGGAGCTCTACGGCCCATAATGGCCCATACTAATCCAGTCCCCCTAATAATAAACACGCCCCCCCCCCCCTATTAAAAAACCTCGGTCGCATTTTTTCTAATAGGGGGTCCCTGAAATCGGGGGGTCCAAAATAGGGTCACCTGGGAAGAGCTTCAAAACCAAAAATTAAATCCGTAAAAATTTTATATAAAATCCTTTATTAAACTCATATCAAAAATGCAAAAAAGCTCCAGATCGAAGGGTCCAGCCAGCCTAGTAATTAATTAGTTAGAGTTAGCTATGGCCTCCAGTCTGATCAATGACTTAGTAGCGACGGCCTCCGACCTAGTAGCGATGGCCTCCAGCTAGAGAGGAAGGGCAGGTTGATATCCTCTAAGACCCCCCTTTAGTATAGCCATGGTTAATATAATATATACATATATAATTCACCGCGGCATGTTTGTAGGATTGGGGCAAGAGGATATCAACCTGCCCAGCCAAACAGAGAGCCAGACAGTCCGCTGCACAAACGAGAGAGGCAGGCAGCCAGTGGAGGGAGGGAGTGGAGAGTCAGGGGCAGCCAGACAGCTAGAGTTAGCTATTGCTAGGAGCAAGGACGCTACTAGGGACTCCTAGCATCGCTACTAGGAGCAAGGCCCCTACTAGGGGCCCCTGGCATCGCTACTAGGAGAGCCAGCGGAGAGTCTGCAACGCAACATGGTCGATTTTGAGGGTGTATTGGGACCTATTTTGAGGGAGCTTTGGGGAACCTAATAGAGAAACTACTCCCAAAATCGACCATGTTGGTAGTTTAGTAGCGGTTTGAAAGGGCGGTAATTTAAAACCAAATATAAACCGCATTTAGGGGTTCGGACGTGGTGTTTTTTTAATTGGGGAGTGTTAATCAATAGGTACTCGGGATTACTTTGGTGTTCAGGTAGAACAACCAGGCCCCACAGACTAGGGTGCCTCAGTTTTGGTCTCTTTCACGGTGCGTCTCATCACGCGCATAGAAGCCCCTTGCTGCGAGTCCCCAGGCTCCAACCTCGCATCAAAGGCTCGCAGCGTTCAGGAGAGCGCGCGAGCGAAAGCGCAAAGATGCGGGTATGCCATTTGGGGTGGCTTTCATGGATACCCCACATCACCTGTAATTAAGGAGCTGTAGTTAGACACCCCAAACATTTCATGTATAAGCATCATTTACTGATTAATGATTAGTTGGTGGATTTGGAGATGGGGAATCTGGGCGGCAAAAACAAAACAGTGCCATGGGTCGTGTTTGGGGGGATGGTATGAATTGTTGGTGGCCAATGACAAACCTAGGATTGCAATTAATTCATGGTCGCCATCAACGAACCGCTGGGGTGAGGATGTGGGATGCAGCTGTTGGGCTAGGTTTGCTCCAATCCATACTGTAGGGAGCAGAAGAAGATAGTAGACTCTTGATAAAATACATCCATGGATTGTGTGAAAAACCTCTTTCACATGGAGGGATGGACATGTATAAGCAAGAGTCCGTCGTCCTAGGTGTTTGTGACTAGGGGTGACTGAGTGCAGAATGCAGTTCTCAGTGCATACCACGGAGCTAACTGGTTCCAAAGACTGAGACCTTTAGACACTCTGGTTCCTCCAAAAGACGCTGGCCGGGACCTGCTGGTCACGTGCACGTAAAGCCTTGATCAAGAGTCAAGCCCTGAAAGACCTCCATTTGGATCAAGAAACCCTTCATAGGGGAGGGCTGACATCCCATTTGGATCCAAACGCCTCCTTATATTCTTGACATATCGTCAAGAGTCTAGGGATTCCGCCTGAATTGGCTGACAGACTCAAGCGCCGGGCTCCACATGCCTCCTAGTTCTGGGGCCAACCTCGGCTGCCCGGACCCGACTTCGTGCCTGGACCCGACTTCAAGTACCTTCGAAAATAGATGACATGCCAGTCCGCCGTGGATGACCTTGTTTTGTTCGTACGGCAATGGTTTTCCCGAACTGGGTACATCCCCTTCTGGGGAATATGTTTTACCCTATAAGAATCCGGACCCGAAGCAACACACAGGGTTTTGAGGGCCCGGACCCCTGCGTTTCGGTGTCGGGTCCGACCCCTGCCATGGAGAGCCCGTTCGGATTCTTAGGGTGACCCCAGAAAAAAAAGAAAACCACGAGGTTAAGTGACCTGAACTAGCACCCGGATTTGGGGTACCCAACTGGGACAGTCGAATTAGGGTTCTTCAACCTTTGTTGGATGGTACTGACTGACTGTACCCGTTTTCGGAGGTACCAACTGAGACTCCAGGAAGCCTTGATTTGCTCTGACTGGAGCCTAGGCATGATCACATCCGGGGGGGGCAGGCCACTTCGGCGGCCACTTCGTGCGCCAGAACTTCCACATGTGACACCCAGACAGCCCATGGGACTGGCGACATACATTCGACTCCTCATTCACCCCTACCGGTCAACAGAGTCTAATGGGTGAAGGATCCGGTCTGTGCGACTCTTCCAGGCCAGGGTACCCCAGGTCTTCCGGGTTCTCGTTCAGGTTCCCTCAAAACAACCCTCTCTGCCTCATCCAATCGAGGGGTCCCTGCGTTACCAGCACCATGTGCGAGGACTTCATCTCCCAGATGACCTTCGAGCTTTCAGAGATCATGGACCTGCTGTTGCAGGTGCCCGAAGATTGGGTCAGTCCAGCGGTCCAAAAAGAGTGGGACCAGTCGGACGTGTGACCAGTCGAGTGGGATTCAAGAGTTTGGAAGAAAATACGATGTGACCCTATAACAAAACAGCGTTTAAGGGGTGGTGTGACTCGTCCCATCCAGGGGCCGTGGATGTGACAGGGGCACCCCCCAAACCTCCATGGATAGTACCCCGACATGAAACTGCTGGTGCTTGTATAAATACCTGTACCCGGACCATGCAAGGGGTGTCCAGGCTGGACTACCCCACACTACCTATAGGCTTTCAGACAGGGCACCCCGACAGCATGGTCATGGTACCCATGTTCCCAGGTACCAACTGAGACTCCAGGCTTGTGGCCCCACGCGATCGGTGGGTCTTCTAGAAGCCTGTGCTTCATCGGTGCTCCCAGCTGCACCGGCGTATAGGTCAATTGGGTCGATCCCGAAACGTTGATGTTCCAAAAACTTATAGTTACTAGTTTGTAGGGATCCAAGTACCTTCTCAGAATGTGTGTGGAGACACTGTTATGTAATTATGTAGGTTTGTTTGCAGGGTCCAAGTACCTTCTGAGAGGGTACTTGGATCCCTAGGGAGTGGTAAGGCCAGGAGCGTCCCTAGTAGCGTCCGATCGCTCCGATCGTAGCAATGCCCTTGTTACTACTAGCTTCATTGTTACTATAGTAGTCATGCACTTGTAGCGATGCACTTGTTACTGTATTGGATCGCTGTAAGAAACATGTCTTCTCACAGGAACAAAGGTAGGAACAATCATGTGCCTGTTTCGTCGTGCAGTGGTTGAAAGAGAACGAGTTCTTTTACTAATAATGTCCGTAATGTCGACATAATTCATAAATCACTCCTAATGTATAGTAGGCTTTTGATTAGTATACCCATGCATGCCGCATTTTTATGTTTTTGCGTTTCGCTCATGGGTGGACATGACTCAAAGAATTTGAAAGATAATTCCTGACATGTTCAAATATGCTACTGCCTGGTTCTTCAAAATGACCTTTTGATATCACAGTTTGAGGTCACTTGGGCCCGTAAAAGGCCACTTAGGCACTCCAAAGAGGTGAATTTGAAGAAGCTGGTGTAGGTTTTTTAATGTCTCCGGGCTTTGGCTGTTCCATGTGGGGACCAGTCAAAGGGACTATAGGGAAACACACTCCCTCTTACGAGACTCAAGAACAGTTAAGGAAACATATCGTATAACATACCAGGGCCCCCGCCATTTGGGGTGGTTTTCATGGCTACCCCGAATCACCTCTAATTAAGGAGCTGTAAGTTTAGACACCCCAATAGCCCGGGAGCCCTGGTAGATGCTGTACTCAGACACGACCCTGGACCCTCATATGGAGTCGGACCCGAATCCTTTGGAGGGGTCTGGGGTCTCAAATTCCGTAGGTTTTGAGACCCCAAGGGCTGTGAACGGAGCGTTTGCGTCACTGGAATTCTTTTCATGGATGCCACGGGTTCCGTGGCATTACGGTTCAGTGACACACCCACGGGCTTCTCCGCTCTCGTCGGAGCGTTTGCGGCGGGTCTTTTTGGGGAAGATCCCAGCATGGCAGGGAAGGGGAGGGTTCCCCCAAATCAGGAATCAGGGAAGGGAATGGCTACAGGTGGTTTCAGAGGTGAGACATGGCGCTGGAACCCCAAGATGTCCTAGACAGATGGGAGTGACATACGAACCACCGAACTTGGGGATTGTGCCATCTACTCTTAAGCCACTACATATCTTCCGACTATGGAACATTTCAGCCGAACTGCATGTAGATGAACAGGTGATGATTTCGTACGGTTAGAAGGTCCAGGGATGAATTGGTCCACCCATTGCGGATCCGCACCCGAAACAAAAACCAAGGGTTTGCTTCGGGGCCCCAGCCACCCTGGTGAACTAGAGGGCTCGACCCCGACCCAGCGTCCGGACGACCGGATCCTATCCGGGCAGCTCTCGTCCTGGGCCACGAGACAAACCCTTGGTGAACCAGGGTTCGGGTCCGGATCGCGGTGAACCCAGAGGGCAGCAACTGTCGCCGTTTCCAGGTGACCCAAGAGGGTCGCTACAATGTCTCCTGCAACTGGGCCCGGAACAATGTGGAGCGATGGACTGCCTGGGTGCCGGTGAGAACCAATTGCTATGCGGGCTTCTTGGTTTGGATCAAGTTTTGCTTCTTGGTTGGTTCGTTATGTTTAAATGCCGCAACCAGTTCAATATATATCGGGGAATTATCTTATAAGAAGCAAGGACCCGACCCGTTCGGTGAAGGTTTGGTTCGGGTCCAAGGGCCCCCTGCGTTCTGCAGGGTCAAAACCCTCCAGAAATGGTTGGGTCCAATGATCCTTGGGCTAATATGTTTTTGGGCTCCTGGGCCACCTGGGAGCCGCCAATCCGAGGCTTTGGGCTGGCCAATGATGAAGGAGTGCATGTGACTCAACGATCCTCGGTTTGGACTCACGAAAACGGGATGGACAAGCCCTAGGGCCGGCCCTAGGGCTCCGTTCGGCCCCCCCCCCTCCGTTTCGGTAGGGCTCCAACCATATCCTCAGGTTCGGCGTTTAGACCCACCTGGCACCCACCCCAACCATCTTCTCAGGAAGTAGGCCAGGAGCCCTAGGGTGAGAACATGTTTGGAGCTGTGAAGATTCGAAGGACTCCGGCCCGAAGTCACATGGAGTCAGGGGCTGTGGATGTGACGGGGCACTCCTTTTCTCGGAGAGAGCACCCCGACCGTGGTTTTTGTTGCTGTGGGGTGGGAGATTCCGTTTTTTTTCCACCCCCCCTAAGAATCAAGTACCCTCAAAGGTGAAGGTGAAGTTGTTTTTTCACTGTGTTCTTTTGAGGTTTTTTTGGATGTTCGACAGGTAGAGGAGATCGGCGAACATGTCGTTTTGGAGAATAGCTTCGGAAGAGGTTCTTTCCCTGCCATCCGGGGAACCTGTGAGAGGGATGTTGAACCAAACAAACTCTGAGAAGCTGCTACCAGGACCCTCTGACAGGGCCCAAGCCTCTCACAAAAGGAGACCCAATTAGAAGGCCCTAGGGATAGTACCTTCTCAGAATGTGATTGGAGACATTGTTATGTAGGTTTGGAGGGTCCAAGTACCTTCTGAGAGGGTACTTGGATCCCTAGGGAGGGTAAAGGTTGCAGAATGGACATGGAGCTACGTGGAGTCTCAGTTTGTACCTAAGAAAACTTCGTGGAAGTGCCTGTTGTTCTGGGTCATGTTATGTCAGAGTCCTATTTTCTAAGGTACAAACGACGTCGAGTCCAGGTAAATCTTCCAACTATGCAGCAAATGCAACATGTTTGCCAAACTTGGCTGGTTTTTATACAGATGAGCAGACAAGCCACATGTTGCTCAGTTGGAAGGTTCAGGAATGGAGCCATTTCTTGTGGACTGGTTGAATCATGCACAGCCACCGGTGGCGCTTGGTACGAACGCTGATCCGAGCCGTCTCATCGCAGCAACAACCCACGGCAGTTTCGAGCAGGAATGACGTGCATCACCGGTCGAAAGGTGGAGCACCAGGGACCCTCCGACCCTCGGGGTGTCCAATAGACTACCCTATACTTATAGGTTTCCATTGGGCACCCCTTGGAAGCTAGGCATGTATGACCATGTCATGTTCCGGATCCGAGTCGGGGACCCGAACCATGGGGGTCGGGGTCGAAAGCGAACCCATCGGGTTTGGGGAAGCAAACCTTGGAACACAAGGGAACTCGCTCATGAGCCCAGCCGCTTGCACTTCCATTCTGACCGTTGGCGCTTCTGTTTCGGGTGTCTTCGACGGGGTCGTATGCTAAAGTAGTGCAGGTGGTGGCCGGATGAAAGCAGGTAGTCAGGACACCAGGCGAATGCAGCTATGCTATTCCACCAAAGGTGGTCCAGTCGTACCTTTTGAGAAGGTATGTGGGATCCCTCTAGGCTCTAGAAGAGCGAGAGGACTCAGCTACCTCTCGGCTACCTCTCCCGGCCTGTCCTTACTCCTCGCTCAGGAGCCGATGCCACGCAGTGTGTGGTTTGTCCTGAGGGCACCTTCTCGGAAGAGATCTTGGATGAGACAGGGTGCCTCCACCGCGTTGAGACGGAGGGGGCCTCCACAACCGAAAAGGATCCCTAGACCGTTGATCGGCACAGTTGTTCGGCACCCCGAGACGGGCTGTGAACGGAGCGTGCTTGGGAGAGTTCAATGAGATCTATATGGGGAAGATGGGACGAACGTAAAGTTATTAGACTCTTTCATGACTCTACATCACCAGGCACCAACCAAGGAAGAATATTCTGACCGTACCGGGCAATGTCAGAAAGTGGATCACCTGACTATTTTCGAGTAGTGTGGAAGCCATCGCTAGTAGGGTGAAGGCCATCGCTAGTAGGGTGGAGGCCATCGCTCTCAGGTTGGAGGCCATCGTTCTTAGGTTTTCTAGATTGGGGACACCCCACTTAAGTAATCTCAAATCCAGGACCCCAAGACTCAAAAGCGCAAAAAAAAAACAACATTGATTTAATAGCCTTTATCAAAGAACCTTTGTTTTAGTATGGATTTTACACTGTCACCACCGGATCAACCATGTTTAAAATGGTCCAGTCCGGACTTCCGATATTACCCAGACGCTCCATGTCTGCCGTATTGCCTACATTGACCCCCCCTGGCACCACCCCAACTGATCGGCAGTCCTATGGCAGTCCCATGGAGTAGATGGGAATTGGACTGGCATCTCCACACCAAAGAGGTTAAGTGACCTGAACTAGGACCGGTACCTATAGGATAGTCTAGTTCGCCTATAGGTTCGGGTACCTATAAGGCTTTTGCTGAACTAGGACCGAGTCCAGCTCCCTAGCGATGTTCCACGTCGATGGCAGGGAACGAGAAGGGGAATACCTGACTGTGTGAGGGCCCCTTTGCCAATGCCAACAGAGGTCTCCAGCGACCTGAACGAACGAACTAGGACCCCTTTTCAAACCTGGGGTACCCTTGCCTAGGATAGTCGAACTACGTCGGGTTCTGACCCACCTCTGCTGGTGTTCCCTCTCCGGATTCTTTGGGCCTTTGGCTTTTCTTCGCTCCATGTCCTAAGGAAGACTTACCGTTGCAGTGCCTGTCCCAGCGGCACCTATCAAGACAAGATCTTCTCGAGCTCATGCAAGCCATGCGCACGTGGCAGCTACAGCGACACTCCTGGCGGTAAACTCTGCAAACACTGTGACTTGGACCTCGAAGATCACCTGGACACAATGGCACCATCCCGAGAAAACCGAAAGGAACATGGGACTTGGGTCTGTCCGAACTGATCTGTAACAGTCAGTAAACAATGATCACTATTTTTTGAACAAGGCCTTTACTAACCATCATGTTCCACTGGGCCCTGGTAATGGGATAGACCCAACATGGGACATGACCCCATTCAACAGCTGGGGCGCCATCGGAGGTACGTGTCCGGGTTGAAGCCATGCCATCCACATAACCATGCGCACGTACAGTCAGAGTGTAGTGCAACACTTCTGCCAAATGTTGATGTATCATGAAGTATATATAGTGAATTAATATGCAATGTAGTGTGAAATGGGGTTGAAATCGCATCAAGAGTCGACATTAGGTTTGCTCATCTTGGGAAGGTCAACTGAGGTCCTGATGTTCTGACGGTCATCCATGGGCATATATTGGCATGTTTACAGTGACCCCAAAATGGGTAGAGACGTAAATAGCCACTACTGGAAACCGTTTCTACCTATTTTGGGACCATTGTATATAAATAAATATATCATAGAGTCCCTTCACTTGCTGTTCAATTTCATATGATTCATATTGGCTCAGGGGTTTTGGCAAAGAAGGGGCATTAGAGCGTTCGGTTTCTGCCTGGAGATTGATTCAGTGGGGTGGAGTATCCAAATCGTCTTGGGCAGCCTGCCACCGCTCCACAGGGGTTCATTGCCAGCTGCGGCCTTTTGTTCAGGGGTTACGTGATGTTGAATGTCTTCACTTGTCAGTCCCTAGGGCTCCAACTATATCCTCAGAAGGTGGTTAACCCTCCAAACTTACCCTAGCCACCTCCTCAGGAGATAGTTGGAGTCCCAGGGAGTGTCCATGCCATCCACTTGTCACCCTTCTTACGAGGTCGGGGAGAGTGGCTCGCTCTTTCCGCTTTCCTCTTTCTCGCTTTCGGTGCGTATTTCAGCGTATGTCTCTTCCAGGTGATGTGGGGTTCTACCAGGCCTTGGAAAAGCAAACGACTTGCAGCGCATGCCCAGCGGATCGCACCACACGCTTGCTGGCGGCCACTGGGGAGCAAGAGCCGAGGCGGCAAGCAGTCAGAATACGGACCGAGGCGGCAAGGGAGAGGCGGTGGTTTTTCGCATGTTCTGGAGATGCGGTTGTTGAGGGTCTTGATCCAAAGTGTGCGAAAAGCGAGACCCCTGGGTTGGCTCTTCTTAGCTGGTACCGGCTTTCATTGTACAGTGGTTTCAGAGGTGAGAAATGGCACTGGCATCCCAAGGTGTCTTAGACAGATGGGGTCCGACCACCTTTTTGGGGATGGTGCTACGTACTTTTGATGCAGGTCTTATATACGTCCTTCACCTTGCTCGTCCGAGTTTTTTTAGCATCAGCATGCCAGCATGCTGTCCTCATCCATGCTCTCCGGCCTAAAAAAGGGTTTCTGGCGGGGATGATGTCATCCATGGATTGCCTTACAAACGGACATCGTTTGTTGATGAACAATGAATAGAGGTTCTTTTTAGTTCCAGTGAACATCCAATAGGCCCAATAGGCATAGATTGGTACCAAATCAAACTCTCTACACTCTGTTCCTCCCAAAAGGACATCATTGATGTCATCAGCCCCTTATTTGACAGGAGGTTTGCCTTGGATCTGAGGAATGTGTATGCAAAGCCACGCTGATCGAAAAGGATGGACAGTGTATCCCTTGTGATGAGGAGAGCTTGTGGTGCCCTGTGGGTAGCACAATCGAGAAGTTGAACAGTGCCTCGCCATTTTGGGAATCGGCGCTGGTCCACGAGTATCCGGATGGCTAACCTTGATGCCGTTTGGAATCAAAGGCTAACCTGCGAAAGCATTGGAGCATCTACTGTAGACGGTGGTTGAAGAAAACGCCTGCATTTGGATGCGCTAAGCCCTTCAAAACGGAGTTTGACAGGCTTTCCGGGCCACTCCATCCAGCTACCCGCTATCGGGAGCCCGCCGGGGCCGTGCAACAAAAACCGCCTTTCCAATACTTGCCCGGCCGGGCTCCTGGCCGCCCCCTCCGTTTCGGTTCGTGCCAGGGGGTTTAACCACCGAACCTGAGGATATGGGGCGTTCGGAGCCCTAGGGTTGACTCAGAGATTTTCAGCGTAAGACCGTGGGTTTTCTCTCAGATGCCCAAACACGAGCTCTTGGAGACTCCAGGGGACTGGATGCCTACAGCCCATCAAGCAACCCTTGGCCGCTCAGTCGAACGGCCAATCGACCAGTCCCATGCAGTCTTTGGGGTGTCGAACCTTGAACGACTCCAGCAAAGGCACCTGGACCTGAAACAGGGGTGTCCAATGGAGGTCACTTAGTAGTGTAGGGGCTTCCAGCCAGTGACCCGACATGAAGGTGCTGGCATGTAAATGGTGGTTTCAGAGCAGATGGTACTGGCATCCCCAGGTGTCTTAGACAGATGGCACCTCGTCAATTCTCCCACCAAACTGGGAGGATCCAGCACTCCAGCGCCATGGAAACTCTCAATATCATACCCAGAGAGAATCAGAGAGAGAGAGAGAGAGTGGATAACCTGAAAACCAAAAATGGGAGAGTGGTGGCACCCACTAAACCAGAACAGGTAGACTTCGGTGCACTTATCTTCTTTTCCAGGGTGTTCCGGCGGAGTCAGAGGTCCACCCCCTCCAGTTCCGGCGGCAGGTGCCAATGGAACCGATGATGTCGCCTGGCCGAAGCGAACGGGATGCGCTGCACCATGCCCCCAGGGCCTAGAACTTAGGGATCCAAGTACCTTCTCAGAATGTGATTGGAGACACTGTTATGTAGGTTTGGAGGGTCCAAGTACCTTCTAAGAGGGTACTTGCATCCCTAGAGAGAGAAGAAGTGAGTCTACACATGAGCTAGCTCTGGCTGAGGTAGCGACTGAGGGGAGTATCAGGGATTATCCATATTTCACATTCAGGGAGCTGTGAAGGAGCTACAGGGAGATCCCAACCCCCGACATGACGTTCGATCCAGAGTCTACTGTGATTTCTCCGATCCACGGCAGGTAGCAACCCAGGGATGACGTACGTGGAGAACCTGAAAACAAAAAGCATGGGGGATTGGTTTCCAGGCTAAATATGAACATGATGAAAAAAGTTTCACGCTGTTTTGCAAGGGAGAGTGAGGGTCAGTCAGTTTTAGAGTTTCTATGGGTCTAGGTGTTTAGTCTTTGGAAAGGTGTTTAGTCTTTGCAACCACTAGATAGTTGCCTACTCTTGTGGTTTGCTTGGATGCACTGGACACTGTTTTCTGCCCCCAGAATTTGCTCCAGCTAGAAACATGTAGACACTTATATAGATGATCAACCCTCCCAGGCATTCCTGAAAAGGTTTTGCACACCATATTTTGGGGGGCTTGAAATATTAAAGAGAAAGAGATACCCGTTGAAATTTCCTTTACAAAATCAACCTACCTGGGTAACAAAAAGAGCTTCGATATTGTAAAGAAAAAAGTTTGTTTCCAGGATCCCGTTTTTGTGGGGGTGGGGAGGTTGATTTTGTAAGGGCAGCATTTCTTCTTGGGGCTGTTGATTTTGTAAGGAATCGATATGTTGGTATGGATGTCAAAAGTGCCACACTGGTGAGGAATCGTATCGTATCGTATCGTCTCGATGATGTCGCGCCGTTGAATCATTACAAAATCGTTTGTTTTTTCCCAATCCAGGTTTAATGATTGAGATTTTGTATCTTGTTTGAGGCCTCGGGGTGGTTGATTTTGTAATTGTACTGAGCCATGTCAACAGAGTGCCTATGATTTTGTAAAGACTATATTTTGAGACTGGGGTAGTTGATTTTGTAATATCGGCTTGAGAGTTGTCCCTTGCCTGCGTCCTGGGGGGTTTGATTTTGTAAAGCTTTTCAGATTGGCGAACCTGGGGTGGTTGATTCTGTGGCACATTTTCCTTATAGAATCAACCTCCCCTGGACACAGCAGGAATTCGAGGGGGGGATTTAAAGAGTCTACATCCCAATGGATCCACTGCCACCTTCTCAGCTTCGGTATGTGGGCTCTCCTGGCGCCTACATAAATAGTCTCCGTCCTCACCGTACCTCAGAAGGTATGTGGATCCATAGGGCATGGTGTTTTAGATGTCTTCCGAAGCTCCCGGTGTTTTCCGTTGCTGAACTCCGAAGCTCGGAGTCGATTGGGGACACGCCTGCGCGAGATCTAGCTATATTCATCCCAGACACCACTCATGGACACCAGTATGGACACCTCCTGCCTGATCGGTCAATATGCCAGTCGCATAGGCGAATTCAGGTGACAAGCTGCTCAAGTGCTAAGCAGTGGAACCCTGTTTCACTATAGAGTCCATCAGTATGTCTACCAGTGGATCACCTGTCACCCTTTTTCCAGCGTTTCGATCCGTTTGGGGGATTGGCTTCATTTTCTGACCAATTCAGGTGGGTTTACCTTCCAACAGAGGTTGAAGAACCCGAACTAGACTATCTCAGTTGGGTACCCCAGGTGACGGGTCCTAGTTCAGGTCACGTTCCACCTCTCTTGGTTGGTCATGTGCATGTCATCCAAACTGAGGGAGTCGGACGTACTTGCTTGATTCATTGAGAATGGCTAGCCGGGAAACAAGAGATGGTATATATGATTCCAAGGAGTGTCTCCAATCCCTATAAATCCAGTCTGTCCTTCTCAGAAAATTGATGTGTTCGACAGCTGTTATATATGCCCTAGGATCCAAACAACCATTAATTTTAATTGTCTGAATCCCAAAGAACCATTGTTTTACTTAGGATTTTTACACTACACCACCAGCTCAACCGTTCTTTTAATGGTCTTTGAAGGCTAGGGTGTATATATATATATATGTAGATAGATAGTGATGGATCCATCACAAGTCTTGAAGGAACCCACTGCCGCCGGTGCGGGAGTTGGGGACTAAACAACAGATGGAAGAGACGCACATCCATCAAGCCATTCACAAAGGATAATTGATCGATCTAGAAGTATCATGTTAAATCAATCTTGCTTGATAGGTCCAGGTGATCAATCAATTTCAACAGTCATCATGTGTGTTTCCCCCAACTGTGTGGTCACACTAGGTACTACTTGTGGTAGTGGTTAAGGGGCGGTGTTTCACCGGGGTATTGCATCGGGGCGTCCGCTTGCTATTTACAATACATTCATGCCTTTCGAAATCCTCGAAGTGCATTTTGACTGCGCAGGCTTGCAAAATCTGGCCGGAGCGGGTGCTTGTCGCGACTGCGCTCTCGTTGTGATGCCTCGCGCATGTTCGGAAAGGTGGGCGCTTTTGGTGGCAGGCGAAAGGGAAACCTCGCGTTTTGGTGGTCCAAAGTCGACTTTTCGTTAGTTTCGTTACAGGGATCGGAGTGGTGTTGCTTCGATGTGTAGAGTGGTGTAGAGTTCGTGGCAGGCGCAGCACTTTGGTGGTGATCTTCGACGCACTCGTTTCTTTCTTGACAGGTGCGGTGAATCGTGACTTTTCTACATGTGGCTCGTTTTCAGAATTCGGGGGAAGTCTCGCGCGAAAGCTGTGCTTTGGCATCTTGATGCTGTCTTTGCAAGAAGCGTTCTTGCGGCAAAACGCCTTGGCAGGGCTGCGGTATGTGAATCTTGAAGTGCAGATTTCGTGGCAGGCGCAGCACTTTGTGACCTCGAAGGCGCAGCAGTCTGTGCTTTCCGAGGCGTCGACTGCTAGATCTTTGTAGACCTCTGAAACTCTAGCCTGCCCTCATACATGTGCTCTCTAAACCTCGGAGACCGAGAGACCGACTTCTACGACTCACTCTCTAGATCTAGGCCTAGAGCTTTGTTTTTATCTCTACTTTGGTCGCTTTCCCGACCTCTAGACCTTTGTATTCTTCAGACTCTTGCTTCTAGGCCTCTAGAACTACGTAGAGCTCGTTTTTTGCAATTTCAACTTGCATGTTTGCAGTGATAATGACATGTTTTAAATTTGCAAGCGTTACCTGCATGTGTGCTCTCATGCCCGACACCTGATGTATGTGCGTGACCTGGCATGGTTGCACCCAGCACCGACCCCCTTCTCTTCCCTCTACCTTTATACTGCTTCCTTTGCCCTCCTCTCTTCCCCTGTGATTGTGGGTGCTCTACCTTGGACTCCTTTTCCCTCTGACATTCTCTACCCCGGTCATCGTGGATGCTCAACCTCGGGTTCCTCGTGTTCGAACTTGACACTGTTTGGGGCCTCTTGCCGGGATAATGTAAAGATATGTAAAGTATGTTCCATTCGCCACACGTTCCCAGGCCAACGGTCCCTACGTGAAGGAACACTATTTTACCTATGCCTCCGACCCGCTTGAAGCCTACAAATGTCGCAATTCGTTGTGCCGCTGGGCTGAAGCCAGGCGACTTGAGGATGAATGTTTGGGCGAAAAGCACTGGACTGCATACAGTTTTTTTTTCCGCAGGGAAGTGCAATGTACAGATCACGAAGAGGTAGCAAGGGTGTGCAGCAGATGTGCTAATTTGGGGGTCACTATGGAGCTAGACAACCTGTGGATGCTGCTAAAGTCTAAGGCGCAGGTGCTGTGGGTGCCGCAATTCGCGTTGATTTCTCGACGTGGCCCAGGACGAGTGAGCTGCCCTAAGGATCCTGGGACCCTCCTTAGAAGGGGCCGAACCGTCTATAACAAGGGTTTGTACCCTCAAAAGCCTTGTTTTGTTTCGGGTGCGGATCCGCAATGGGTGATCGAGAACCCATACAATTTCACCCTTCGGACCACTTGAAGAAACCGATTCTGCCGCAGTTTCTGGACGGCCACCTTCCCTTTGCGGGACTAGCTGCACATGGCTGCCACACGCTTTGGAACACCAGGGGCCACTGGACCAGGTCCTGGCGGAGCACCTGAGAGCTGCTCCGGTGGACGAGAGGGTCTCACGTGTGAGCGCTGTCCGTTGGGCCAGTGTCCTGGATGGACGTGGGACTGGCCATGAATGGGTCGGAAGCGCGGGAGCACCGGGTGGAGAGGTGACATAAGCCTGGATTTGGTGGGAAAACAGATGTTTTTTTTCTGGTAAAACATCAAATGAGATTGTTGCAGTGCAACTTGAGAGCCAAGCAATGGGTCGAAACGGCAAACTTTTGGACATGTCACCAACACATAGACATGGTCACGGAGAACATGTGTATGCAAAAGTTCAACATGTTCTGAGCTTCTGAATGATGTTCCTTCGCGTGCTTGTACCAGGACCCGGCTACATGGTCAGTGTTGTAGAGATTGAACCTTCTCATAGGGCCAAGGCCGTTTCAATTGGATAACCAGGCTAAGGGTTCTCTTCGCGAGCAGCTATGCGATTTGAACCCATTCACCCCAAAAAGTTTGCAAGCAGTCATCGTGGCATGAGCCAGAATTAGACCATCGGCATATCTGCAAATCTCCCCCCTCCAACTGTTTGGGGGTCAATGTAGGCTTTTGGTTTTTTCATACCGGATACCAGGACCATCCTGTTTGGGTCACGACGACCGCCCCTACCACTCCAGATGGACGGTCCAAGGTACGGAGACTGGTACGGAGTCGACTTGGGAATGAACTTGGACGTTCCAAGACGCTAAGCTAAGCTAAGCCTAAGCTCCTCAGGTTTGCCTCCACAGGGCCCTGCAGCGAGTGTGGCGACTGGCTCGCTGTCCTGTGGGTGCTCGGCCTCGTGCTCTTGGCCGTGCTCGTCGTGGGCCTCTTGGCATTTTCCCTAGGCCTCCAGTCGTGCCTTCTGAGAAGGTGGGACTGGGTGGGTGCCAGGAGGGTCTAAACACCGAACCTGAGGAGGTACGACTGGAGTTTGGGAATCCCAGACACGACCTGTTTGGGACTTAAAACGGGCGGCCAGGAGCCCTAGAAGACCTACATTGAGGTGGTTGCCAGAGGGTTCAATGGATGTGCCAGTCCCATTAGTCGTGTCTGGGTTGGGGAATCCCAGACACTCTCCACACGTACGTCGGAAGTGCGTGAGGTTAAAGCTGAGAAGAAGAGAAGAAGAAGACAGGAAAAGAAAGAAGACTCTTTTGGGGAGGAGTGGTGGCACCCCAAGTATCAACCAAACACAGATAGAACAAAAAAGTGAATTCTTTGTTCTTTGCAGGGAAACTGAAGGAGTCAGTATGGTCAGGATTAGTTCGTAGCTGCTGGGATGGGTTTGGGAATATGCCAATCACTTCGGGTGACTTGGGGAATTGTGGATGCATTTCGAGCCGGGAGCCAGTCGTGATGAGAAAGACGAAAGAAGGCACTAAATGCACGGACTCGACAGGTATATATCCAATCCACACATATATATATATATATATATACCTGGAAAGGCGTATGAACACTTTTTTTTGTGCGAAGGCCGTATTTGGACAGAATTTATCGTATGGACATTTTAATTAACGAATTAGCGTATTTAGCCGTATGGACAGAAAAAACAATACCGTACAAAAGCGTACCCATATAAAACCCAAACTTTATCAACATTTTATCGACAAAAACCCAAACAATTATATTGATAAAACCCAATCAAGCCCAATATTCGGAGGAATTCCAGAAAATTTGTCCATTTGACAAAAAAAGGCCGGATGCACAGATTTCTTGTGCGAACGTGTTTGAACAAAAAAAAATGCACATTTGGATTCCCTGGTATATATACCCAGACGCTCCGTTCACAGCTCGACTGGTGCCTCAAAACCCTAGGGATTTGAGACCCCAGACCCCTCCATATGAGGGTCCGACCCCTCCATATGAGGGCCCATGAGCGTCTGGGTATATATGACCTATAGGGTGTTGGACTGACGAATCGACAGGTCGCCCTCCAAAAGATCGCACCGACCCCAAAGCTCAAGCTGCTGCTTTCAGCTGCTGCCACCCTCCGTTCCACCGCTGAATCTCTGAAATGATCCACCCTGGACCACCCAGTTTGAATTTGGATGAGGATATTGGCAGTCATGCGATGTGTTTAGACTATAGACTTTTTACAGTAGTCCCTGGATGCTTTTGGGGGGGCAAGAAGTGTCTAGAAGTACCCAGTGCTATGTCTTCTTTGAAAGTTTCCATCAAACCCCAGGAGTGGTGCATAGAGATCATAGAGCCAAGCCAGATCATGTTCAAGGCCATACTTTTAGAGGTGGTTGGCGCTTCACGGCCTTAAACACATGCCCAATCCCTAAGGATCCAAGTACCCTCTGAGGTTCGGTGTTAGGGGGGTTTGGAGGGTCCAAGTACTCTCAGCATTTGGCCCGACTCTCCCAACACTCTCCCGGGCCATTTGCTCCTCCACGTTCTCCAAGGGTCAGGATCTGTGACTTCTCATCCGCCCAGACGCGAAGTCTCTGGGGTCGAATCCGAACTGGTCAGGGGTCGAACGGGTCGAACCAATCCCTATAGGGTTTGGTTCGGTACCAGTCGAGCGTCGTGAAAACGGAGCGTTTGAGCGGACCAGACCGAAGGCTCTTACTACGTCTTCTCGCCGCGCTACGTGGCCAAAGCCTCACCCATCTTCCGCGCGCAGTGCAGCGGCGACATCGCCGTGATGGTGCTCCAGAACGTGGCGTGGGAAGGATGGAATCGGTGCTGGGCCTTTGGCTCTTCCCTAGGGCTCCGAACGCCCCAGATCCCTCAGGTTCGGTGGTTAAACCCCCCTGGCACTCACCCATAACCACCGAACCGAAACGGAGGCGGCGGCCAGGAGGCCTAGGGTTTGGTACTCTTTCGACCTCTCAGCCAAAGACGGCCAAACAGGTGGTGCCATCCACATGGTATACCATGACTATGGCCACAGGAGTCTCATCTATGGGTGCACTGGTTTTTCATCATGGGGCCCACCTAAAACACCAAAGACCAGACGACCAACCCTTCATGTTGGGGTTCGGAATGAATCTCCATCGGGAGCCCCTCGTCCGCAGGCAAGACCCACAGGCGGCGCACGGGTCGTAGCATGACAGGATCAGAGACAGACCGCTCGCGGTCCAGGACCTACCCCTAGGGCTCCTGGCCCATCTCCTCAGGTTCGGTGCTTCGACCTCCCTGGCACCCACCCCAACCACCCTCCCAGGAGGTGGTTGGAGCCCTGGGGTACATTCACATGACATTCGCCAGTCATGTAGACTCTTGATGAATAACCCCAGCCGTTTGAATTGAACATCCTCTTCATATGGGGGGTTGATTAATCAAGGGTCTATACATTAAAACCACGCCGTGTACACCAGGACCTTCCAAACTCACTAGACCCTGGGGCTGACCAATGGACCACCCGACGATGCCGAGTCGGTGCAGGCGGACCCTAACGGACCCTGGGGGACTGCGCGGATCATGTGGGGGGAGGCGATGGTCGGCCCCAATCAGATCTCAATTCTACCAGGACCATCCTGGACCGGGGTGCCCTGTTTGGAAGCCTATAGGTAGTCTGGGGTAGTCCATTGGACACTCCTGGTGATAGTCTATGTCAATGATGAATGCGGTCAGCGACCCTGGACACGAACCAACTGCTACCTGGGCCCTCAAAGTACCTTAGAAAATGGGACATGACCCCTAAGAAACTGGTACTTGTACCCATTTTCCGAGGTACGAACTGAGGCTCCACGTACATGTTGGTTTAGTCCAAAACCCTCGTTGTGAGGGTCAAATCCCTACTGTCAGTGGATAACCTTCAAGCTTTTTTGTGGGAGTGGTGGTTTCTCCACTAAACCAGAACAGGGAGAGTTCCTTCGGTTCACCTTTATTTTCCAGGGCAACTGAAGGAGTGAGTTGTACCGAGCCTTTGGCGCCTTTGGGGTAGCAGTTTTTGGGAGATGGATGATATGGATGTGGAACCCTTGGATCACAGCGACTCGAAGCCCACATTGCAAATGTGTGATACCCCAAGTTTCACCGCGTTTTTTCAATCATGAATTTTCAGACCAGGAGTCACAAAGGGATGCCCATTGGAGGATAGGGGTGCCCATGATCCACTCACTTAGGGACCAGAGGTGGTCGACCCGAGGTCTGAAAAACGAGGTGGATTTCGGTCCCTTGAAGCCCCAAGTCCCCTTTTGAGTTCTTCAGCAGCACAGAACTCCGAACTCCGAGTTCGGGGTGGCTGGCCCGAACTCCGGATGTGGAGGGTGCCCTAAGTATCGGACCCGACCACCGAACTGGAGGGTTTGGACCCGACCACAGGTTCCGCAGGGGGGCCCGACAGGACCCGAACCAAACCTTCACCGAACCGAGGGTCCTTGATTCTTAGGGTGTGTGTTTCTTTTGACCCTAAGGATCCGAGTCCGGACCCTCCATGGCAAGGGGTCGAAGCCCTGCTATTTTAGAAGGGTTTGGGGCCCCGAAGCAAACCCTTGTGTTTGCGGGTCCGGTTCCTTATAGGGGATGTGATTTTCAAGTCTGAACCTTGCATGATGACAGATTCGCCCCTTGCCTTCAGTCCTTCATCAGGTGGGTGTGGTGCAAGTGGCATGGACTTCATCACAATCCTTGGAGCCCTGGGGTGTTTGCGTCCGATCTGCCGGCTTCGGACGATTCGAAAAGGTGCGATTCGCAGGCGAACACCAAGCACATCATCCACCCAGATGCGACCCTGCACCCTCATATGCAGGGGTCGGACCCTCATATAATATGGAAGGGTCTGGACCCTCAAAACCCTATGGTTTTGAGGGACCCAAGGGCTGTTTGGAGCGTCTGGGCAATAAGACGCTTTCAAGTTCAAGTGCGACATGACCAGTTTCCACCCGTCTTCCACGCCCCTGGGGTCCGACGAAGTCGACGACTTAGGCTCGGCATGGGCGTTTGTCGGGCTGGTTCGCACTTAGGCTGGTTCGCCACATGGTTTCCACGAGGGCTCAGCAAAAACATGTAAAAAAAAAAAACTCTCCGGAGGACCCTGATGGTCTTTCGTTTGGACCGCGTGATGGTCTGAAGAAGACGCGTCACGCGTCACCGACCCCCAGGGCGGGCTTATCTTTAGGAGGATGACCACCTTCGTGAGCTCCTCGTGCTACTTACCAGGAGGTCTTGGGCTTCACCTCTCTCTTCGTCTTGGACCTCAAGGGCGCAGGCATCAGCTGCTTGTTTCCATCCCCTGCGGGGCAATATGCTGGCGTCGTGCTGGTGTGGCCTGTGGTCTTGTGCCTTGGCTTCAGCATGACGAACCGAGCCTACAGCCTCCGACCTAGTAGCGATGGCCTCCAGCCTACTAGCGATGGCCTCCAACATAAGAGCGATGGCCTCCAGCCTAAGAGCCTTTCTTCCCTAAGAAACCTTAGACCTTCAGCTCCTCAGAAGGTACTTAGAGGTTCCTTAGACCTATATAATAGCAGTCTTTTGGGGTGTATCTCAGTGAGCAAGCGTTGCCGTCAGTGAAACAATAACCACCCTTTTTGGGGGGGAGAAAGGCCTGTAATCTAAGCTAAGCATCATCATCCACAGTAAGTGGGAATTTCAATGTACCGATATACCCAAGGAAGACCCGCCAAACCTACCACCAAAGCGAAACGGAGATGGGGCTGGAGCCTTGGGGCAAACGTTCAGCGACATTGACATATGTTGTGCTGGCAGCACCCTCGTACATGTTGAGCACGAGATGTGGCTTCATGTTGGTACCACCTCGCTCTTCCTCTTTGATGTTGTACCCTAAGGATCCTTGGACCCTCCTTAGAAGGGGTCGAACGCTCTATAACAAGGGTTTGTACCCGAACCAAACCCTTGTTTTTGAGGGTGCGGATCCTTAGGGTCTGTCAAAATGCGGTGCATGCTGCACGTTTCACCGTACATGTGGGCCACCTCATGTTGGTTTCATGGTTTGCAGGAAAGGCCGGTGCTGTTGACATGGGCTTTTCAGTGGGGCATTTCACGTTCCTTGACTCTGAGGTGCACGATCCTGCTTGCCAATCTTTGCTCCCGATGCTCGAAAGTGAAAACGCGTTCTGTTCTTATCGATCATCCCAGCAGAGGTTGGTCCTGGTGATAGTCTATGTCAATGATGAATGCGGTCAGCGACCCTGGACACGAACCAACTGCCAGCTGGGCCCAACTTCAAGTACCTTAGAAAATTGCACATGATCCCTAAGAAACTGGTACTTGTACCCATTTTCCGAGGTACGAACGGGTCGGCTCCAGGTACTCTCTAAGATTGAAGAAGCGGCGTGAAGGGTGAAGAAGTTCACTGAATACATGCCTTCATACCGTTCCCATGCCGGCCTGGTACATCCTTCGGGCGCTGATATGGAGTTCAAACGTTTGGCAAAGGAATGTTGTTTTCCTTTCAGCCATGCCATCCACCAGCTCGTCAGAGTGTAGCCTGGCACCTTCTGAATACGTTTTTTTTTGCTAGTCAGGTGATGTGTTATTTGGGTGAAACCCCCTGATGTCCCTGGGGAACATGTGATTCTTTCCAGGTTCCCTGGGGGGCCAACCTAAGTCATTAGACGACTCCTTAGGTCAACCACCTTATTAGCAGACCAGTGCACGACTGATCGACTGATCTGGGCCCTCTTCGGACCATGGGTGGGCAGCTCATGGGTGCGGTCTGGTCTGAGGAATTCCCTGTGGACGATACAATCTCTCCTGGGACAACGTCCGCACGGTGGGGATGGCGGGCAAATTCATGCAGATCGGCTTCACCTCGATGACCAACATCGGCCTCATGCCATTTGTTTGCCACCTGGGCAGCAACAGCTACCCAGACGCGACCCTGGACCGGACCCTCAAATCCCTATGGTTTTGAGGGACCAAGGGCGGTTTTGAATCCTTAGGGTACAAGACATACCCAGGAATAGTGGATAATATATAAGCTTTTGGTGGAAGTGATTTCCCCACCAAACCAGAACAGGTAGAGTTCCTTCGGTTCAACTGAAGGAGTCGGGACATGAGTGGCCCTGAAAACTCGCTGGATGCACGTCTTTCTGCCCAGCCGCGGTGGGTGTGGCGTTCCGGGGTGGTAGGTAGGCCCGACACGAGAGCCATCTTTTTGCCCTAGGGTTTCTGGCCCATATCCTTCGGTGGTGAGACCCCCATGGCACCCACCCCTGGCCCACCGAACTTGCGCATGCCCTAAGAATGGCACTTCGAATCGGTCCAGATCGATGCCAGGCTCCTCACCAAGAGAGGTGGAACGTGACCTGAACTCGGACCCTACTGGGGTACCCAACTGGGATAGTCCTACCTACAAGGGTGCCTGGACCCTAACTGGGTACCTACTACTGGAGATAGTCTAGTTCTGTTGGCAAATCTCCACCCGATTTCGCCGGGGGGGTTCAACCACCACCGATCTCCGATCCGTCCTGCCCGAGACACCTGCCGTCGACGTCCAATGCCGAGGCTGACGTTGCGTGTGCCTGTGCGACCCATGACACTCCCAATGTGGCCTATGTGTATACGCAGACGCTCATGGGCCCGCATATGGAGGGGTCGGACCCTCATATGGAGGGGTCTGGGGTCTCAAATCCCTAGGGTTTTGAGGAACCAAGAGCTGTGAACGGAGCGTCTAGGTAATGTATTATGTCACACATGGAGTGTTTGGATGTCTTTGGGACATGAAGTGGAGTACCCAGACGCTCCAAACAGCTCTTGGCACCTCAAAACCCTAGGGATTTGAGACCCCAGACCCCTCCATATGAGGGTCCGACCCCTCCATATGAGGGCCCATGAGCGTCTGGGTATATCATATCTTTCTCAGGGCTCCTCTTTTCCACTATAAAAACCGCCCCACCCCTTCCCTGAAGCCTCGCGACGCCACACCTCCTTGCGCCTCTGCCTCAGAGGCTTTATGCACCCCAACGGAGCGTTCAGCATGTTGACGCACGGGGACATCCTGTGTGGTTCTGCCGAACATACCCTCATGCAGATCTGTGGCGGCTGTGCCTGGGCCGAAGTTGGACCGAATACCACGTGTTCAACACGTCCCTTCCCAGACGACCTATCTGGGACTGCCAGGACTACCGACCCGTTGGGCCCCCCAAACCACCACCCCTGGCCGTTTCTCAGCAGTCCTATGGCAGTCCCAGGCAGGTCGCGTTTGGGATTGGCTGAACCACGTCCAGTTGGACTGACTGACTTGATTCCGACACGTGCGGGAGTGGGGCGCGCGATTGATGGGTTGGAACATGATTTACCTGGCCCCGTCTCCAACTGTGCAACATGTTATTCATTTGTTCAACAAGCCAAGTTCGGCAGACATGTTGAATAGTTGCAAGATCTACACGAATTCCAGAATGCTTCGACAGGCGTATTGCGCAGTCAGGTTGCTACATGTTGCTACTTTAGGTCCTTAAAGGATCACGATTTTCTTATTTTCCCTAGGGCTCCTGGCCGCCCCTCCTGAGGAGAAGGTGGACCAGGGGTGGGTGGTTTTTGGGTGTATAACCACCTGAGGATATGGGATGTTCGGAGCCCTAGGGTTTATGACCAAAGGATGTGTCCATCGAGTTCCTTCGTCCAAAATTTCAGTGCATGGTTTAACAGTGCCATTGCCTACTGGGAATGCAATGTTTGATGCCGTTTGATCAACTCTTTGGTTGGTATTCTATTTGTTTACACATGTTGTTTGCATCGCATCCATAGGATTTTCTGAGGCCCATACTGCTTCCAAGCTGTACCATATCCATGCAGTCAGTGGATAACCTTTAACAATTAAGTCCTTTTGGGGGGTAGGAGTCAGGTAGTCAGGTACAGGTAGTTTACTTCTGATGACAGCGTCATAATTCAAGAAGTTTCCATTGGGGATTCGAGCTTGTTTTTTTCCATATACGTCAAGCCTCATCCAAGTCCTTTTGGTGTCTTGGATGCGTTATGAGACTTCATGCGCGATTAGGATATGATTTCAAGGGAGCCGCAGCTGTGGGTCTGTCGCATCGGTGCAAGAGAGGCAGAGAGCACAATCTGTGGCAAGGATAGGCGTAGGGGGCCCTAGCAGGCCAATGTGTTTTGTGTTTCTTCCCTTTGGGGGGAACCCCTCCAATTGGTTTTGAGCTTTGATGTTTGTGCGTCCTTCCAATGACTTTTGGATTTGGTAAAGGTCGCACTTCTCATGTTTCGACTACCATGTGCTGGGTGGTTGTCCGCTTTAGTTTCCTTAATTTGACCCGAAATGTATATTGAATGTGCAACGGGTGTTTTCCTATATATTATATAGGATAAGTGGATACAGTTTTTTTGGGGGGTTGGGGTGGGGTTCTCCCACCGAAAAACATCCACTGGTTTGGAGTTCGTTTGCTTCCCCTTTGTGATTGACACATCGAAAGCACGGCAAGACTGGCGTTTTGGTTCGAGAATGCCTGGGGATGCCCAGGCATTCTCGTCCTCGCCTTCCTCTTCCTGTCCGCTTGCATGGTGTTTACGTTGCTCGCTCCACACTGGTCCAGCAGCGATGGCACTCGGAAGACCTTGGGCCTGGTGACTCGGCCTTGACTCAGTAGTGCCCTAGGGCTGGCCGCGCCCTCCTGAGGTTCGATGGTTGGGTGGCTGGTCTTGGGGGGTCGAATACCACCGGTCACCGGGGAGTTCGGAGCCCTATAGGGGTGGATCACCTGCAAACCAGTCCGGCAAGCAACGGAAAGCGAGAAGCGAGCGGGCGCGGTCGCGACGTGCAGGTTTGCTTCGTATTTTTGGTTTTCCTGGTTGGTTTTCCTATGTGCATTCCATGTCTTTTAAGTTGGC